TTCAGAGATGCAGGAGGCTGTGGGGGCCTGAGGAGAGCAGGCCTGGGCTGTAGCCACTCTGGGCCTGTGGCCCGAGGTGTACACTGTGCCCCTCCATCTTTCCAGGGCCACTTCAAGCTTCACTGCCCTGCAGATGTCAAGGGGCAGAAGTGTGGAGCGCAGTGGTCCTACCCAGAGGTGCGCCTCTGTGCCCAGCTGAGTAGGTCTGAGCAGCAGGCATTTGAGGAGGGCCTGGCCCAGAATGCCATGGGGCGCTATGATGAAGTGAAAGAGGTAGGTACGTCTGCGGGCACAGGGGCCTGGCTCTGCCCTGGCGTGGGTGAAAAGAGATGATGGATGGATGCACAGAGATATATACAAGAGGGAAAGATAGAAAGATAACGGAAAAGAAGAAAGGAAGGACAAGAAGAGAAGGAGGTCAAGCATACACAAGGCCAGGACTTCCTCCATAGACATGTCTGGGCCACACGCCTGCCAGACACACGTTCACAGAGTCATGTGCACATGTGAGCTCCTCACGGAGCATGCTGGGCACAGACCCTCACGTGAGGCTCAGGGTCCCTTCTCACTCACACTCTGGGCTCTTTGTCCCCTGCACCCCATCAAGCGAAGTATAGGCCTCCTGAGAGAGCAGCGCTGGGCCAGGGGAAGGGCCAGTCAGGAGGGAAGAAGGCCAGGAGCCAAGCCCAAAGCAGGAGACTTACAGCAGCTTTCCCACGTCCTTGGGAACAGCAGGGTCCAACTGCCCCAGCAGTTTGCCTCCATCAGGACAGCACCCTCTGTTTGAAGGCTCCCCCTGGGTGTCCCCCACCCCAACCTCTCGTCCAGAGTCATTTCCTACCCTCATGGAACCTTGGGCAGTCAAGGGCAACCACATGGCACAGGCTACCTCAGGCCCCTTTGGTCCCTTCCCTGAAGGGGGCTGAAGGTGCCTGGGGGATTGGCCGGGGCTCTGGCAATGCTAGGATCTGCTGTCAGCTTTAGCTTTGGAGGAGGGCCCCTTCTCCTCCTGGAGAGAATGGCATGAATGGTGAGGTGGGGGTGCCTGGCTTCTCCCGCTGCCTGTGTTTGCATGTCTGAGGATCCCAGGATGGAGCTGGGGGGGGGGGTGTCTCTGACAGGAGCCTGGTTCTGGGGCTCCTGGTGTGGCCTGTGGCCACAGTAACCCATCTTCCACCCCTCCCCTGCCCTCCTAATGTCCTGGAAGTCCAGCCTCTACATCTGGAGAGCTTTTCTCCAAAAGGCTCAACAGGAAGAGACAAAACTTAATCCAGAGGCCCCAGCATGCAGGACAGTTCTGAGGTGCTCTGAGTGGTCAGGGGCCCTGCCCAGGGAACAGAGAGCCACAGATCCCTAATGCCAACTGTAGTCGGGGTCTCTGTACCCCAGTGGGAAGCCAGTGGGCAGGGGAGGGGGTGCAGATGGGACTTCCCGAGGGCCTCTCAGAACCTCGGGGCCTCCACTCCTCCCTCCAAGGTCCAGAAGGCATCCCCAACTTTGGGGACTCTCTGAATCCCCAACTGTCTGCAGCACAAACATAAGGACAGTGGGCCCCAGCTGTCCAGCTGTCCTGTTGTTAAAGACAGGGGCAGGTGGCAGAGAAGGGGCTGAGGGTTAAGACCAATAGAAGAGAAAAGAAACCACAACAGCAGGGTCTTGAGGGCAGGGACTTGCCAACCAGGAGCATGTGTGGAAACCAGGCACTCCTGAGCCAGTGACCTTTCCCTGCTTGACGCACAGGAGACCAGTACGTTTCAACATTTTTCATCTCGTAGTACACTTGAACCTACAGTTAAACTTCTGCAGCACACGTAAATTATGTTGATCAAAAAAAGAGGAAAAATACAAATTTACTTACTGTGCTTTGAACTTCTTTTAATTGGCCAAGTGTGGTGGCTCACAGCTATAATCCCAGCACTGTGGGAGGGCTAAGCCGGTGGATTGTCTGAGCTCAGGAGTTCGAGACCAGCCTGAGCAAGAGCAAGACCCCCATCTCTACTAAAATAAATAAATAAATAAATAGAAAAACTGAGGCAAGAGGATCACTTGAGCCCAAGAGTTTGAGGTTGCTGTGAGCTATGATGACATCATAGTAGTCTACCCAGGGCAACAGCTTGAGACTGTCTCAAAAATAATAATAATAATAATTTAATTGATGATCTTTAAAAATTTTCAAAGTACGCCTAAGATCCTCTTATGGTACACAGGTTAGAAATCACTGCATTAGAGTGATGAAAACCACACCCTGGCACCACCGTGACAGACAGGGACAGACAGGGACAGCCACAGGAGGGTCCAGTCTAAGAATTCTCCACCCCTTTCTGAGGAGAACTATGAAAATTCTGCCCCTACTTAACATAAAATTAAGGGACTGAAAAAAGGAGCAGGCCTGGGTGTCCTGCACTGGTGATACTGGACAGGGTGGCACCTTGTCCCTGGACCTGTTGCTATTGCGGCAAATGGAGGAATTCCGCCGGACTGGAGCAGGGGGGAGACAATGGCACCCTGCTGTCTCCTCACACGGACTTCTGGCAATTCCTCCAGTGCATCCCTGATTGGTCTATTTTCAAAACCTGCTCCTGATTGGTCTGTTTTCAAGACCCAAAAGCTCAGTGGACAACTGCCACTATATAAGCCCCTAAGTAGAGAGCCCAAACACAGACCTCCAAAAGAGAGCAGGAGAGCAAGGAGGTTTGGTTCTTTGTGAGAGCTGTAACACTTGTATTATAAAACCTATCTTACTGCTGATCCTGTGGTCCATCGCTTCATTCTTTGAACTGCCTGGAATATCCAATATCAAAATCTGGTATCTCTGGGGGAACAGGACCTCCCCTCCCAATAAGCTCTGTGTATGCAGATTGCCCGTGGACATCTGTGTTTGAGCCATTCTTCATCTCTGGGAATTAAGGGTCCAGGAGGACAAACCTGAACCTGACAATGACCCCAGGGTCTCCCTCCCTTCCAGGGCCTCCTACCTAGGACAGACCTGGGCTTGGAAAAATAAAAACAAAATTCAGTCTCAGGGAGGGGGAGCAGTGACTAGAGGTTGAAAGGCCCCTCTGGGCATGTTGTTAAAGCCCTGGAAGGAGTGAAAGACCTGCGACAGTGTGGACCTTGTTGTTAAATGTGCTGCCACAGGCTTGGTGGAGGCTGGGATCTGGCTGGGTGTGGACCCCCACAGGAAGGGGACAGGCTGTAGGGTGGCAGGCTACCCGTTTGGTGAGTGGCCAGGGCCAGCATCATGTCTCCTCATGGGGCAGAAGCTGGCTAGGGTCCCTGCCCACTTGTATCCTCCCGTAGGCATCTGGACGTGGTGCCTTCTCCCTGGGCTGTGGTCAGCTGAGCTCCTGTGTGCTAAATGCAGACTGATGGGGACCTGTTTTGTTCTCTTCTATGGGGAGAGCACAGGGGCTGGCAGGAGAGAGGGGCTGCTGGGAGGGGTGGGGCGGGTCAGAAAGAAGGCCCAGAGGCCTCTGCAGGCAAGGGGCAGACGCGGCACCTGTCCCCTGCCAGCATGGTTCCCAGGACAGGACCTTGGCCCTCCGAGGACTCACTCCTCTGCTCCCGCCCACTACCTGCTGGCAGGTGGCCTGGGCCAGGCAGGTGCCCTGTCCCTCTGGCCCTCTGCCTTGCTGGGCCTGAGATGGTGTGGGAGGGGCACTGTCTGAGAGACCTCACCCTGGACCCTTAGTCACAGTCGAGACTCCCATGCTGGGCCAGAGGATTCCCTCCTAGAGAAGTCCAGAGCAGCCCCACCTGCTCTGGGCCTGGATTTCTCTCCCCTCCAGGACAGGTGGGAGGGAGGAGACTCTAGTCACAGGGCTCCCTCCCTTGGCAGCCCCCTCCCCCAGTGGCCTCTGCATTCACTCAGCCTGTTCCCTCTGCTGGAAAGGACCCTAGACACACACCCTGGTTGGCTGTGAACCCCAGGTGGCCCTCAGGGTTCAGTGCAATCTTCCCTGTTGGGGCCCTTGGTGTCCTCAAGGGACTGCCTAGTCCTCCCAGAGCATCTGAGCCTCCTCTGTTACTTCATGGGGTGACTGGGGCACACTTAGGACCACCAGCCCTGAGGCCCTGATCTGGGCATGGAGCCCTACAGCCTGGCCGATGTCCAACACTGAGTCCCCACAATGTCCCCACTTCCACCCAGCCCTGCAGGCTGGAGAGCCTTCCCCAGCAGGGCCTGACCCAGCCTGGGCATGGGGCCTGGGGCAGAAAGGGCTTCTCAGGGTCCCCTCTCAGCCCGGTAAGAGCAGGACTCTCCTCCATACCTCTCACAGTCTGGGGTTTCCAGGAATCAAGTGGCCAGCTGTGAGCTCAGCACTGACCACTGTCTGTCTCAGAAATGTGCTTCATGGGCCAAAGCTGCCAGCTAGGACAGTGGAAGTCTGTGGAGTGGCCCTTTGGTGGCTCTGAGCTTCCCCAGGGTCCAGGGCTCCTGCCAGAGCATCCATGATGTCTCCTCAGGAGACCCAGGTGCAGACAGCTGGTGTCAGGAGAGCAGCTGACTTCATGGGGGTGGGGGGGTGCTAGGGACAGGTGATCCAGAAGACAGGAGGACCCTTGGCCCTTCCCAAGCAGAAACACAACCCAACTGCAGGGTGGTAGGGGCACTCACTTAGGTATGGACTTTGGCCCAGGGAGTCCATAGCCAAGGTATGGGAGTGGGTAGATGGTCCTGGATCCAGAAGCCCAGGTGTGTCATAGAGTTCAGTGGAAGGTTTTAAAGGGCTGGGATGGTCTCTGGGACCCAGGGCTGGCCAAGTAGGCCAGGGGCATCTCAGACCCCAGGAGGATGCCACGCCCTGGGCAGTCCATGTGGGCCCTGCTGACTCTGCTTCGGGCCCTGAAGCAGGGAAGGCTGGAGGTAAGGGGCACAGGTGTGCTGTTCCCAGAGGCTCAGGTGGACTCTCCCCTCCACCACCAGCCAAGAGGCCAGCTGGCCTCTGTCAAGGCCCCGCGGGTGCCCAAGTCAGGTGGCTCCTCCATGGGGTTGGCACATGGCTGGTCTGAATGTGTCCCTCTCCTTCTTCTTTGCCACTGTTGCCCTCTGTGAAGTGGCCAGGAGGGTGTCCAAGGCCCTGCTACCCACGGTCGCCTATGACAACTTCGCCCGGGAGGCAGTAGGCGCAGCCCAGCTCGGGGCCTGTTGCCTGGAGATGAGGGTGCTGGCGGAGATCGGGCCCTGGGCTGGGGGCTTCGGGCCCGACCTGCTGATGACACTGCTCTTCCTGCTCTTCCTGGTGCACGGGGCCACCCTGGACGGGGCCTCAGCCAACCCTGCCGTGTCCCTGCAGGAGTTCCTCATGGCTGAGGCGTCCCTGCCCAGCACACTGCTGAAGCTCGTGGCCCAGGGGCTGGGTGTGCAGATTGCCTGTGCCCTGACACGGGTCTGCTGGGCCTGCGAGCTGAGCGACCTGCACCTGCTGCAGAACCTCATGGCCCAGCACTGCAGCTCTGCCCTGCACACATCCGTGACCCATGGGGCACTCGTGGAAGGAGCCTGTGCCTTCTGCTTCCATCTGACCCTCCTCCGCCTGCAGCACAGCCCTCCTATCTACAGGGTGTCAGCCGTAGCCCTGCTGGTCACCGTCACAGCCTATACAGGTGAGCCCTGCTTCCCTCTGCCCTGGAATCCCCTCTGGACTGCTGTGCCATGTGGCTGCCATGCACACTTGCACCTATAGTTACCAAGATGGTGCTCTGGCTGGAGGAGCCCACAAGCCCATAGAGACAATGGCCACCTCCCAGGAAGCTGGCCAGTGGATGAGGATCGTCGGCTGGACCTGGGGCCATGGGGAGGGGCCTGGTCCTTATGAGGGTCACCCTCCAGACCATGCTCCTGTCTCGTCCCAGATGATGCTCTTCATCCCAGAGATCTGCACCAGGGCAGGTGGGATAGGACTCTGACCTGGGAACCCCAATGTCCCCATCACCACTCCTAAGAGCAACAAGTCCTGTGGACTCTTCCTCTCTCTTGCTCCTGAGCTGCCCACCTGTCTCCCAGGAGCAGGCTGACCTGTGACCAAGCTCTCAGGTGTCCATCGGCCCCAGCCTCTTCTGTTCTTCACCCCCTGCTCAGCTCTATCTGCAGACTGTGTCACTGGCCCTAATCCCCTCCCATAAAGGCAGCTTGTGACTGGCAAGCTTATGGGGACATGTGTCTTATAGGAAGGGGCCACAGGGGCCTCCAAGGAGCAGCGTCTTTATGCTCCCAGCAGCAGGGATGCCAGGGCAGGGGTGAGGCCAAGTGCTCTCAGGGCTCCATTCCTTGGGCTGAGGGCCCAATAGGGACAGAAACAGTACCTAACACATTCCTTGACACTCAACTTGATCTGGCAGAGGCCAGACAGCACATAATCTGGATTACACAGCCCACAGGAAGGTGCTACACAGCACGTACAGATGGGGAAACCAAGGTAGGATGAACGGGGGCTCCCAGCAACAGGGACTGGCAACCGGACTACTGGACTCCTGGCCCAGGGGACACCCAGAGATTGCCTGCCATGGCACCTCCCTGAGGAGTCGGGGTGGCTGGCATAATTGACCAGAGCTGCCTAGGCCTTGGTCTGCCCTGGCCGGCTCCAGACTCTGTGTCCAAAAGGCTGCCTGCCCTAGCCTAGGCCAGACCCTGCTATTGCCCTGCCTACCACCTGCCTCTTACTGGTGGAGGTATCCTGGCCCTGGGGCTCTCTCTTTCCCTCTTTCTGTGCGTCTGTCTGTCCACCCCTCTCTTCCCAACTCAGACCACCTCCCATACAGTAGGATTGCTGGAGGCCAGATGTGGTGAGCTGTGGGGAGGGCTGGTCCCTGACTCTGTAACCTTGGCCTTAGTTGAACTGGCCTTCGTGCCCATCGGTGTAGCAGGAGCTCAGGGGATGCAACCCCAGCCCTAGCACTAAGAGTCACACCCAGGCCTGTGCAGAGGAGAGGTAGCCTCTGGCAGGGCAGGGACGGAAGCTGTGTGTGCTCTGCCCACAGCTGGTCCCTTCACATCCGCCTTCTTCAACCCCTCCCTGGCTGCCGCTGTCACCTTCCACTGCTCAGGGCACACGGCACTGGAGTACGTTCAGGTGTACTGGCTGGGCCCTTTTGCAGGTAAGCGTGGGTGGGGTCCCTCAGCTGCTGGGGTTCTAGCACTCCCTAGGGAGGGGGCTTTGGTGGGAAGGGAATGGGGGAAAGGTCAGCCCTCTTGGGCCAGCTCCTCCCCCACGTGGGCAGTGGAGAGTGATAGCGACTGCCTCATCTTGGTTCAGACACCATCACAGAAGTGACCAGAGGCAGAAGTCGGGCATGGAGGGGCAAGTAAGGGAAGCCTTCCCTGTGAGGGGTGCCAGGTGACAGGTGGGGTTGGCACCTGCAGGGGGAGTTCCCTTGTCCTCCCAGGTACCAGTCCTGGTGGCTATGGAGCCTCAGAGCTGCACTTAGATGACACAGAACCATCCTGCCCTCATAGGGCTGGGGACATGGGGGTTTGGAGGCCTAGAGGGGGTCCTGGTGGGGCCGCCCTGTGACTTGCCCTCCTGAGGCTGCCCCTCCGGCCCTATACCATGAAGCTGCACAGAAAAGCCATAGGGAAGGGCCTGGGCCTGGCTGACTGCAGGGGAGGTCATGGAGCCATCCTTGGCCCAGAGAATTGAGGCCCTGGTGAAGCATAGGTCTGCTTCCACACCTGGTCTCAGATCCCTGGCCCTTTTTCAATCTCCATGCCTCACCAGCTTGGTGGTCAGGGGCCAGTGGGAGTCTGAAAGCTTCCTGTCCCTTCTGTTGGGTCTACAGTGGGGCAGTTCTCAGGGGAGAGTGCAGTCTGCCCTGGGAAGAGAGACCTGGCCCTAGATGGTGGCCAGGATGTCATCCTCAGGGTGTACACTGAGAAAACGGGCATCCCCCCTCTGTGCCCAGAGGCAGCCCTGCATGTGGACAGCTGACTGTCTCCCTGTGACAGCCCATCTCCACTCATGGGGCCTACAGGGCTGCTCTGTGGTTCTTCAGCCGGGCATTCACCCTGGCCGGTTCCTCAGGAAAGGACGGAGCTGACACCCTGGGCATGGTGGAGCTACCACCCCTGGAGGGCTGTTCCATCCTGCACATCCTCCGTCATCCCCACGGGTGACGGTGGGCTTGGTTTCTGTCTTGCTGGGGGAGTTCTCAGTGACTCAACTAAGGTCTTCCATCGCCTCCCAAGGCGTCTGTCTTTCACGCTGGGTGAGCCTTTACCTCTATCCTGGTCGTGCTTCTGTCTCTGTGTTCCATGTCTTCTCCTATTTGGCTTTATTCCTTCTTTCTGGTGGAGAATGTCTGACAACAGCTCATGAGGAAGGGTGCCTGGCACTCAAAGTTCAGACCTCCTGTGTCTGAAATCAAATGTCTTGGTTCTGTCCTTGGCTGTGGCTTTGGCCAAAAATTGAATTCTGGGTTGGAGGTAATTTTGAAGGCTCCTCTGCATGACTGCTGGAGTAGTTTTCAGGGCTACCACAGCAAAGTACCACAAAACGAAAGGCTCCAGGAGGCCCCTTCCTGCCACGTCCTGGCCTCTGTAGCCCCTGAAATCCTTGGCTTCCGTTCATTGTGGACACTTCGCTGCAACCCCTGCCCCAACGTCCCAGGGTACCTCTGTGTGTCTGTACCTGTCTCTTCTCCTCTTCTTCTGGGGACCCTAGACATGGGATTCAAGGTCCTCTTGGCACCTGTATGACCTCCTGTTAATTTAACTGATGACATCTACAAAGACTCTATTTCCTATAAGGTCACATCTAAGGTTCTGGGAAGAATGTGACTTGCAGAGGCACCCAGCAACCTCTGGTGGGGAGGCTTCTGAGAGCCAACTGGGAAGAGGCCAGCCACTCAGCAGCCTCTGTGCATGCACCCACCCACCTCTACTTTAGTACTGGCCCCTGGCCCTGGGGCACTCCTGCTGCCCTGAGTCCAGACGCCCTCCTAGGGAACAGCCTCATCTCCTGCCAGGGTAGAGTGGGAAGCCACCATGTGCTGCTGCAGGTGGGCCTTGGGGACGCTGAGTGTATCTCACACAGACCTGCAGTGTGTACTCCTAGGACACCTGCCCCCGGAGGGACCCGGGCTGCTGACTGCTGACCCTCAGGTCATGGAAGATGGAGGCTGGTATCTAGCCCTCAGTGTTGCTGAGAGAGGAGTGGCCTCCCGGGAGGCCTGCACTGTGCTCCTCACCTGCCTGCTTGTCAGCTTTCTGAGTTCTGTCACGTCTGCTTTGCCCCATTTATCTGAGTGGCTGACACCTCCACAGAACTCTTTCCCTATCATTGTGGTCACTTTCAGGAAACACCATCTTTATCCACAAGTTCAAAGCCAGCCTCTGGCCTTGAGACAGAAGGAGACTAGAGGCAAGTAGGCGAAGGGGGCTGGCTTCTAGGTGTGAACGCCCAGCTGGGTGCTCTGAACAGGTCTTGTCACCTCTCTGGGCCTTCCCTACTCAGAAAGTTCAATAGGGGCAGTGGCAGCAGTCTCCTGGCTGTGTGTGGCCACAGGGGCCATGGTCAGGAGCTCAGGCTGCTGCATGTTGTAATGTGACAGGTCCCCTCCAGGACACTGGGGCCAGCATGCTACAGGTAGAATCCTCACACTCTTGACATCTCCTGCCTCTGCAATCTGATCTTGCCAGTGTCCTGGAAATTCAGGTGGGAGTTTAGGGTTCCTAACTCTTGTGTCTTGGGCAGAGGCAGAAAGTACAGTCACCCAGGCCAGGTCAGGACTCAAGGCCACTGCTCAACCCAACCTAGGTCCACCCACAACCCCTCTTTCCCTCCTCTGTGCCACCCCACGCCCCCACAGACACCCACCCTGGGATGGGACACCCCTTCGGGAAGCAGTCATGGGAAGAAAGGGGCCACACAGGCTCTGGAGATGACTCAGGACCCTCTGACCTACAGCATGGTCTAGAACCACCCAGGCGCCCCACAGGCGTGTCCACATCTCTAGGGGGGAAAGGCCCGGGACAGGCCCAGCCAGGGGCCATGTGTTGGGAGGGCTGGGTGTGGCACCTCCTCCTGTCTGAGTGCAGGAGCATCTGATCTGCCTTCTCCTACAGGGATGGTCCTGGCCGTGCTGCTGTACCAAGGCCACCTGCCTCGACTTTTCCAGAGGAACCTGCTTTATACTCAGAAGAACAAATATCGAACCCCCCGAGGGAAGCTGGTGCCAGGCTCTGGAGAACCCCCGGAGCCCACCTAGGGCTGCAGTGGCTGGAAGTGTGGGCACAGAGGGGTGGGATGGCCGTGAAGCTCCCGCTGGCACCCTGCTGGGCACAAGCCCCATGAGGGCTGTGCCCCTGGCCGTTCCCTGGAACCTCCCAGAGCCAAGCAGGAGCCCTGGCCTCCCTCCCCAGAAACCAGTTGTCAATAAACAGTTCCTTAACCTGCTGTCCCTGGCCTGACAGAGGCTTCTGGAAGGACAGGCAGGGGTGAGGGAAAACACCTCTGCCTACCATAGGCTGTTTTCTGCCTCTTATTTACAGAATTAGAGTTAAAAAGTAAGATCCAAAATGGCAGACAAAAAGCCCAGAGTGAGGGGATATGGTCTGAGATGCTGGCACTGGTGGCCCTATGTGACATCTGTGTGCCCACAATATAGGGAAATCTGAGTGGCTGGGGCAGTGAGACCTGCTGGGGACGCTGTAGGTGGCAGCAGAGCCTGAGGCTGCAGGTGCATATCTGGGTACAGGACACTCAACCCTAACACCTACCCAGAACCCTGACCCTCAGTTCAGTGGCCCACTGGTCCGCATTGAGGGAAACCCTGGTCAATGGCACAGACAACAGCTGATCAGGAACCTTCCTCCCCAAGAAGGCAGAGGCCCCTCAGCTGCAGCTTCCCAGGCCCAGCCAGAGATCGTGAGGGTGATGGGGCTCCTGTCCATGGCCACCCTGTCCTGGGTGAGCAGAATCTCACAGCTGCTCTGCCATTGAGGGGGTAACGACCAGAGGAGGAAGTAAGCCAAGATCCTGGCCAGGCTTTTCCTGGGGATGGGGGTGAGGCCATGTCTTCCCTTACCAGCTTCTGATAAAAGGAGAGAAGGAAGGATCCACCCTCTCCTGCCAGGGGCAGCCTCTCCCCTCAGCCCCTCCAACACCAGCCAGCCTCCACTTACCCCTGAGGAGAGCACAATGGGGAACAGGGACAGGGAGCCCAGGTCCCTAAAGGATCCTGGGATAAGGGTTGACAGCTGCTGCTGTGGCTTACAGACCAGGGGCTGGGGGGGAGGGGCCAGGGCCAGAGCAAGGGGGACAGAAGATGTGGCCACAGGAAGAAGAGGAACTCCCCAGGAGACAGCACTGCCCTGAGATGGGAAACCCAGCACCTCTGTCCTTGCAGCCATCCTTCCAGTGCCTGCACAGATATTTCCAGGACAGGAAACCCTGGCTCTTAGGCCATATGTTTTATCAGCACATTGGTGCAAGAAAAGTGTGCTCATGGTCATGGTAATCACATTCATCAGGAAGATGTTAGAATTACTCAAATCTAAAATCAGTTTTTGAAAACTTCACCAAAGAAAAGAAAAATACACAAGCTTTACAACACAAATTAAATTTAAAGATCACCCTGTCTGATGGTGTGAAATTTTGCAAGACAATTTCAGAATGAGCTTTTCCTTACCATTGATGATACAGGGACAAGATTCACAGAGATGTTTTAAGTTTTAAGCAAGTCGCGAATTTACTTCCGGTTTCTCATGTACTCTCCGCCAACATTGCAGGAAATGTCAGAAGAAATGTTAAAATCTCCATGTGGACGTGTGCATTTAAAATACGGACAAAGCAACACAAAACTTATTTGTATGTAGAGTGAAGTGACTTTAGGAAAATGGTTTCCAAGAATTATGAGTTCTAGAGGTGCAAAAATTTGTTTTCCAGGATTCATCCGAAACGTCCCCTATGTTCTCATGGCCTAGAAAGTGCTCTCAGCAGCCCCAGTAATGCATGGTCCAGGCACAGGAAGATCTTTCTCAAACTGACAAATTATCCAGAACGATGCATGATCTTGCATTTGCCAAGGTTGCCCCTTGTTTCTTCCAATTAGATTGAGGGAAAAGGAAGTTCCTAAAATTATAAATTTCCCCAACATAATTACTGCTTTTGCAGAAAAGGCTTCAAGGATAATCATCTGAGGCCCAAAGATCTCTCCTTTGTTTACGTGGTAGTCACGCCCAGCTCTGTGCCCTCCTTATGCTACTGTGTCTGGTCGACAAGGACTTCTGTGGGAGGACTCTCCTCTTTTCTGCCATTGTCCTCTGTTCCAGCACATAGAATGGCATGATATCACTTTAGTTAAGCTGTCCCAAAGTGTTACCACTAAAGGAATACTATCAGATGCTGAATTTGTCAGTAGTTTTCCAGATTCACTCCTGATAAATATGTTCCATCAGTAATAGCTGTCACTAACTTCTCAGATGTCCCTAATGTCACCACTTATCTAGACTGACCTCTTTTCTTATTGGCTTTCTGTGTCTAATTGATTCAAGACTTAAATATTATCACCCTTGTTTTAATTTGCACCATGTTGCGAATGCAGGAAACTCTTTCTATAGCATAGGACCTCCTTGATCTATGAACTACTGGCTAGACCAATATAATTTAAATCAGATGACTGAAGTTAAAAATATGTCCCTACTATGTCAGTAATACTTATATCTAAGGTATTGTGTAAATGGATTCTAAAAAGCTTGCAAAGGAAACAAGGTATGATTCAATTTGTATTGTCAGCACTTCCCATGAACGAATCTATTCATGACACACCATAGGACTACCACTCCTGTTCTCCCCCACCCCATCTCCTTGGATATGTGTTTGTATGTGGCACAGGGCCTGATCCACCTGAACAAGGATGAGTACACCGTAGACTTGGCAGCTTACACACGAAGGCTCATGCTTGCCAGGACATTCTGTAACACGCTTACCCTTACACAAGCATGCCTAAGGACTCCCTTTCTCCCTTCATTATAAAACTAAAAGGTCTGTACTATCAGGATATAAAGACATTATAGGTCAAGGCATCCTAGGAATATTATCTCCAAGTGCTGAATTTTATATCAACAGTATATGATTCAAAACCCATCCACCACTATTATATAACTGAAAACACTACAAAAAGACTTTCAGCCCAACGAAAGTATCTGTACTCACTAGCTGAGTAGTACCAGGTGACAGGATTGCTCTGGTTTTCCTCCTAGCCACACAAGGAGGTTCTTTGCGATTGCCAATGATGCTGCAATAAACATTCAAGGGCAGGGTCTTTCTTACAAAATGGCTTTTTTCCCTTAGGGTAAATACCCAGTAGTGGGATTGCTGGATCAAACAGTAGGTCTACTTTTGGTTCTTTGAGGTATCTCCATCCAACTTTCCATAGAGGTTGTACTAGTTTGCAGTCCTACCTACAGGATGTGACATCTCTCCACATCCATCTGTTTTCCTGAGATTTTTTGATAAAAGCCACTCTCACTGGAGTTAGGTGACACCTCATTGTGGTTTTGATTTGCATTTTCCTGATGACTAGAGACGCTGAGCATTTTTTCATATGCTTTTGGGTCATTAATCTATCTTCTTTATTTTCCTCTTAATTTTTTTATTAAATCATAACTGTGTACATTAATACATTTATGGGGGACAATGTGCTGATTTTATATACAATTTGGAATGCTTACATCAAACTGGTTAACATAGCCTTCACCTCACTTAATTATTGTGTTAAGACATTTATACTCTATTCTTAATAGATTTGACATGTACCCTTGCAATATGCGCCATAGGTGAGGTCCTACCAATTACCCTCCTTGCACCCAATCTTTCCCCTCTTCTCCCCTCCCCTCCTCTTCCCTTCTTCATCCTGGGCTACAGTTGTGTTTTATTGTTCATGTGCAAGTGTGGGTGATCACATATTGGTTTCATAATAGTTCTGAGTACATTGGATACTTGTTCTCCCATTCTTGAGATGCTTTTATGTTTACATGGATGCTTCATGCTTCATCCATGTAAACATATAAGAGGTAAAGTCTCCATCTTTTTGTAAGGCTGCATAATATTCCATGGTATACATATACCACAATTTGTTAATCCACTCACGGGTCAATGGGCACTTGGGCTGTTTCCATAACTTGGCAATTATGAATTGGGCTGCAATAAACTTTCTGGTGCAAATTTCTTTGTTGTAAAGTGATTTTTAGCCTTCTGGATATATAGCTAGCAAAGGAATGCAGGATCGAATGGCAGGTCTACTTTTAGTTCGGTAAGTGTTCTCGAAATTTCTTTCCAAAAGGAATGTATTAGCTTGCGTTCCCACCAGCAGTGCAGAAGTGTTCCCTTTTCTCCATATCCATGCCAACATCTGTAGTTTTGGGATTTTGTGATGTGGGCTAATCTTACTGGAGTTAGATGATATATCAAAGTGGTTTTGAATTGCATTTCTCTGATGATGAAGGATGATGAGCATTTTTTCATGTGTCTATAGGCCATGCACCTGTCTTCTTTAGAGAAGCTTCTGTTCAAGTCTCTTGCCCACAATGAAATGAGATCACTTGTTCTTTTCTTATTAATAAGTTTGAGTTCTCTGTGGATTCTAGTTATAAAATCTTTGTCAAAAACATAACCTGCAAATATCTTCTCCCATTCTGAGGGATGTCTGTTTGCTTTACTTACTGTGTTTTTGGCCATGCAGAAGCTTTTTAGTTTGATCAGATCCCAGTAGTATACATTTGGTGTTGCTTCAATTGCCAGGGTGTCCTCCTCATAAAGTATTCTCCTACGCCAATTTCTTCAAGTGTTTCTTCTGCACGCTCTCCAAGTATCTTTATAGTTTCATGTCTTAAGTTTAAATCTTTCATCCAGTGAGAATCAATTTTTGTTAATGGTGAAAGGTGTGGGTCCAGTTTCTGTCTTCTACTAGTCGCCAGCCAATTCATCCAGTACCATTTGTTAAATAGGTAATATTTCCCCCAATTTATGTTTTTGATAGGGTTATCAAAGATCAAATGACAGGAAGTAACTGCGTTCATCTCTTGGTTCTCTATTCTGTTCCATACATCTACCTCTCTGTTTTTGTGCCAGGACCATGCTGTTTTGATCACTATCGATTTATAGTATAATCTGAGGTCTGGTTGCATGATTCCTCCTGATTTGTTTTTATTTCTGGGTAATGCCTTGGCTATTTAAGTTTTTTTCTGATTCCATATAAAATTAAGTATTTTTTCCAGATCTTTAAAGTATGACAGTGATGCTTTAATAGGGATTGCATTAAATTTGTATATTACTTTGGGTAGTATGGACATTTTAAAGGGTTGATTCTTCCCAGCCATGAACATGGTACATTTTTCCTTTTGATAACACCTTCAGCTATTTCTTTTCTCAGAGTTTCATAGTTCTCTTTATAGAGATC